GTCTTGCCGGAGCTATTTAACATAATTTTTGAGTCCCTTCTTCACCATGAATCCCATATTAGATCAACCAAACATTTATTTATATTTCTTTTTGGGTTTGGGTTGGGTGAGCATCATGTGATAAGTAATCTAAACTGTCGAGATAATCTAGACGGTTCAAATCAAAGTTTTTTTATTTTATAATAATTAAATTAAAAATTATAAAAAATAATAAATTTATTTTATTATTAATTTAGACAATATAGATTTAATCTTATGGTGTAACTCAATATTAAAATTTTTTAGAATTTTTATAAATTAATTATCCAAAATTGTTCTGAACAGTCCAATTTTAAAATTTTTAACTGAAAAATTTTTTTAAAATTTTTTTAGAGTATCAATTTAGATATTATCTTTATTCTTAATATTATTATTACTAAAAAATTAAAAAAATTTAATCTTAAATTTAAATTGTTTTGCATACATCTAGGCAATAAATTTGTAAAAATTATAAAACTTTTATTATAAATTGGATATTCAATATTTTTTTATTTGTTTAAATTAAATTTGTATTATTAAAATGGTTGATAAGGTAGATTGATTTAAAAATAAATAAATTTTAATTTTAATAAATATTAATAAAAAAATAAAATAAAATTATGAATTTGGATGGTCCTTGCTCATCACATGAAAAACACCATCATGTGATGAGCACCCAAACCAATGAGTGAGAGGACCTTTCAAAATGAAAAAAACGAAGACAAATGAGGAAGTGATAAAAGAAAAAAGAATTAAAAAATTAATTTAAATTTTAAAAATAAGGTCAACATTATACTTTTGATGTTGATAATAGATAGAAGTAGACTTTTTCAAAAAGCCCAATGTTAACAATCCTTACCAAATCTAAAATATCAGCCACCATGGCACGAAACCTAAAAAATAGTTGTTGGCTTTATGAATGGTAAATTGTGTCTAGAGCCATGAAGCCATTTTTTAAGCTCCTGGCTTGGTGGAACTACTATTAAGGATATATATTGGTGATATTGATGATGTAAGATCACAAGAGCTTATCAAAAGATATAAGGAGAATTTCACTAACGACTTCTAAAACACAAAAATTTATATTATAGGTCTAAGGACCTTTCTTGTAAATTTTATTGTGAATGAAAAAATGCAATTGCCCTTATTTTAAGGGCATGTCTATATATACACAACACGATGTCTACAAATTCTTGACATAATATTCATGAATGCACAACACATCTAGTAAATGGTTTAATTATTAAAGTGAATGTACAAGCAAGAAAATGATGAACAACACAATATCCATGATACACAACATAATGTCCATCAATTCTCAACATAATGAACATTTGTAAACTTGCAACATTTGTACAACATAAAATATATAATGAACAACATACTTTCATTGAAACGACATACTTTAAGTTAATGTCCACCAGATGTGTTTGTATTTATGAACATTGTATTGAGAATTTATGGATATTACGTTGTATATACATGAAAATTCTATTGAGACAAAGGCAAATGTGTTTTTTTGGTCCACAACAAATTTGCAAGAAGAACTCTTAGGCTTGTAATATGTTTTTGAATTTTATTGGGCCTGCAGTGTAAATTTTTGTGTTTTGAAGTTCTTAAGTGAGATTCTCCCAAAGATATACCTAATTTTGAATATGCACTAAACTTCCAAATCTATACCTACGATAATGCTGACAATTTATGACACCTCCTGTAGGGTCCATGTCAAGAGAATGACTTGAATTTTTCAATTCACTGTTGTTCGCATTGCTCTTATATAAAGAGTTGCTTGTAGCATTAAGAAATCATAGAATCAAGTTTTATATCACAAAACAACGAAGGCAATAATGGGGGATAGTGAGAAAAGCCAAATACTGATAGTAGGAGCAACGGGTTATCTTAGGGAATACATGGTGAAGGCAAGCCTTTCCCTGGGTCATCCTACTTTGCTTATGTTCATCCCATTCATACTTCAACTCACCTTCCAAGTTCCACCCTCTTCAATCTCTGGGCCTACCCCACTATTTTCAAGTAACTTGTCCTCCTTAATTTTCTCTTACATTACATGTTCATATCATATAATATGGTGGTGTTAAAATTCATTGTTTCTCAATATAGGGGAGTTAGATCAGAAGGAGAAGCTAGTCTTTTGTCTTCAATAGGTTGATGTTATCATTTCCATGCTCGCGTGTTCCTCAGCATCTGGAGCAACTCAAGATAATCCAAGCCATCAAACAAGCCGGCAATATCAAGGTTACTTTTTCAAACAATATTCTCAACCATAACATATGTGTATACACAAACACAAGTATTAATGATTATCATGTCTTGTTATGTTGTGACAAAGATTTGTTCCCCCTCAAAATATGGAAGTGAAGTGGACAGAGTAAAGGGGCTTCCACCATTCGAGGCCCTTCTTGAAAATAAGAGGAAGATAAGAAGGGCAACAGAAGAAGCAAAGATCCCCTACACTTATTCTCTCTGCCAACTCTTTTGCAGCCTACTTCCTCAGTTCTCTACTTCACCCACATGACCTCAAACTCCAACACCTTCTTGTTTATGGCACTGGTGAAGCTAAGGGTGGTGTTCTTATTATAATCAAAACCCCACACACACACCCCACCCATACAGATTAAAAGTCCAAGTAATCACGAAACTTGAGGGACACACACGTATATGTATATTGCAGCTGTGTTGAATTATGAGGAAGATGTGGCATTTTACACTGTGAAAGCAGCAACAGATGAAAGAGCAGAAAACGAGTGGTTATCATTAGACCTAAAGGGAACATTATTTCCAGTTGGAGTTGATAACTTTGTGGGAGAATAGGAATCGTGCCTTTAAACGGGAACATATAATTGAGCAAGAAATGGTGAAGCTATGTGAAAGTAAGATATAATAATAGTTATTATATGTTTGAGCTATCATGTTTTTTGCAAATTACTTGGGACAATGAAGTTAGTTAATAAAAAATCAACGGATGTTCTGCAGCACTGGATTTTCCAGACAATATAGCAATGGCTATACTTCACAACATATTCGTGAAAGGGACAGAAACGATGTTTGAATTGAGTACTCAAGATGTAGAGGCTTCACAGTTATATCCTGACTACAAATACACCACCAAATTAATGCCCTCCTCGATGCCTGCTTCAACAATGCCCCACCAGGCCTATATAGGCTAAATTTGCATGACCAGTTTGCATCTCTTTTTCCTTTTTTTTTTCCCAAGAAGTATTCATTTGGCTACTTAGTTAGGAGATCAATATTTGGGGAAAAGAATCTTTATTATCTACTTATTGTACTTAAAAAAAATGAGTATTGGCTGGTGTTTGGGTTTGTGTTTATTGTATATTTTATTGTGGTATCATCACCCATGTAAATTATAAAGTTTGCAATAAAATATCAAATATATATGGTACTAATATTACATGAAATCGATGGTTGTGTATCAAAACTTGGCTATCTATTGATAAGGATCTATATTTTAAAAAAATTGGAATAAAAAAAGTGACACAGCCTTATATTATATTATATATAAACTATGTTTTTTATAGAGCCAATAATTGAGTGAGCTCTTGTGGGCTTGGCTTATACGAGTACAAGCCCAAAATCTTATTTATCTTAAAAGTGATATTTTTTTAAACTCAATCCTTATTAATCAGGTTCAGAGTTAGACCCATGAATCCTTTTTTTTATAATTTTGAAATTATAATACTATATTTTTTAAAATATAAATTATAACATTTAAAAATTAAAAGTAAGTAATACAAATTCTAATTTTAAAATATAAATATAAATTTTAAAATATATATTTAATATTTTATTTTTTAGGAATAAAACAAAAAATCAATCACTTGAGCCTGTTTTTATAGAACTTAAAAGGTTGAACTCATAAATTTGATTACACTAAAATTTCTTGATTTTTTTAGGCATGAGTCCAAAAAAAAAAGAAAAGAAAAGCTTAACCCGTCAACTTATGTTTCATGTTTTTATTTTTAATTTTTTTCAAGGGTCTTTTAACAATGGCCCAACATCCTTCTCACCTGCTTTCTTTCAGTTGTTTCTCTCTTTTCTCAACTGGTGGTAATTTAATGTGTAGAAGAGGTGTGACCATGGGAGCGAAACTAGGAATATACTCCTGCCACCTAAGGAAGAGAAAGCTTGAATTGCGCACCTCACTTGGCTAGTTTGTTGTGTTTGCTCAAGAGACCACTTACGATCACACTATTTCCATTCATTTTACAAGATACGCTTGATTTTACATTAAAAAATGCAGATATTTTATTTTACTATTAGATTTTGTAAGATATAAGTATTTATATTTCTTGTTCTTGATATTTTGCACACCTTACACTTATTATTTGAAATCACTTGTTCTTCATTTATATCTAAATATATTTTATTTAAATAGTTTTTTATACATACTATATATGTGTGTGTTATAATTTAACTCACAACCTAATAAACTTTAAATATAAATTTTAAACTCACTAATTTTATATTGAATATGCCATTTTTTTCATTTTCATATATCAAATAAAAAATGTCCATAACAATTTTTAAGCATTATTTATTTTTAATTATATTGCACCCCTGAGTCAGGGGTCATAAAACTGTCTCTGTGGGTGTGTGTGTGTGTGTGTTTTTTTTTCCTTTTTTGTTTTGTTTTTTTGTTTTTTTGAGTGGGGGAGGAGGAGGTTGCTTCTGTGTTATGGTTGAAAATGAATGAGGTTCACACACACACGTGACACACCCCCTCAGAACAAAAGAGATCAGAAGCCACTGCACTTGGTGCATTGCTTTAGTAACAAAATGATTTCTTGATTCTCACTAAAGAAAAAAATGATTTCTTTATATAAATTAGGAGGTGAATTTAATCTCTCACAAGGCTAGTTTAGCCTCCTTTTAATTAAAAGAGAAAAAGAAATCAAAATCCAAGTCAAAAGTGCAATGACTAAAAAGGTTTTAAACGGCTCAAATTTAAAAGAAAAATATAAATAAGAACAATTAAAAAAATACAAGGAAAATTGTCATAAATTTCTTTTCCTATGATTTACATCTAGTTTACTCAAGTGTCTATTCCTGATCTTGCACAGGCTGAATCTTTCAATTTTTTTTAGCAATCATGTCAAGCAAGAATGCCCAATTGGCCATTTTCCCAACTAACAAAATAAATAAGATGGATTAATTTCATCAAGGGTAAGAGGGTACTAATGGTGATTTGATTGCAAAGCTTGGCTCTCAAAAATACTCATCCTTCCCTTTGTTTCAAAGACAATCAAGCGTTCCTAAAAATTACCTCACAACCTCTACTCTGTCTATAACATCCAATGCTCTCTCTTTGTCGGCACCAAAATCAATCACAGGAAGCTTGGATGAAATCTTGTTGAAGGAAATATCTATGCTTCTGCTTGACGAAAGGCTCCAACTTTTGGTGAGTCTGCTCTTCTCTCTCAACCTAACTTCCATCCTGTCAAAGTCCCAGCTTTTACTCATCCCTTTAATCCATACTTTCTTACCAACAAGTTGCACCAAGTTTTGGTCACTGATTGTTAGATACGGCGTGTTGGCAGTTCTCGGTTGCTGACATTTTTTTTGCAGGGGAGCCAGATGAGTAGACTTCGGGGTAGACCTCACTCCACCGACATCAACGCCAGCTCCACTTTGAATGGCCAAGCGTTGAAGCCATAAGAGAAGTTCAAGAATATATTTTTCTACTTTGTTCTTGTCTGCATGATGGAATGTCTCAATCCGCATTGCAGAGGTCTGCGCAGTCTTCAAATTTGTCTCAGAGCTGCAAGATTGATGTATGAGAAACGGAATGGAAAATGGAGGCAGAAGAAATACGTACAAAGTTAGATAATATACATTCATAATAGAACAAGCAATTATTTGTTACTCACCCAGCGCTTGCCCACTCCCCAACCCAGCCAAAACCATGATGCGCTCTGACTCAATTTTGGAGCAACATGAATAGGAGATTATAAATGAAACGAATTAAATTGATGCTTAAAGGAAACTTCTCACTGAAAAGCCATTTGAAGAAAAGCCAGGCATCTTACTTGGCTGTGTTTGTGGCGACTGGAACAAGCCAATGCAATGTTTTCTCAATCTCCTCTTTTATATCTTCTACCGTGCGCTGTGGGAAATGAGGAAAAACACGAACACAAGGAAAATTAATATGGAAGATATTCTACATTTCTACTTTAGGTTGGAAGAGGAAAGCCTGAAGCATAAGAAATAACAAATTTTAAGACTTTCCTTAGCACTCAAGTAATTATGATGTTTAAAGTGATAATAAAATGAAGTAGTAACAGATGAGATCATACATCTTCTGCAACATGAACAGATGGTAATTTGGATCGCAGAGCTAATTTCATGTTAGGAGGCAAGCTCTGGTATAATCCGTCCCTTGTATTTTCAGGCATCGAACTAGATTTGGCAACCTGACAGTGTCAACACTGACTGAGTACAATGCTCTATTTATAAAGCGTAACAACACAAGGCAGCAAATGTGTTAATTAGAATTAGTGTGACCAAAGTAATTTAAGTAAATATTCTTGCTTCACTTTTTTATGTGCAACCAGATTTGTTTTATCCGCATTATACCTGGGTTTGCTAAGGAGAAAAAGGTGAAGTGAGCCAAGAGGAAGATCAAGCTTAAAGGTACCAGTTGCTGTTTTGTCCATAATGGTCAAAGCATGCCCATTAGTAATAAGCATATCATCATTATACCTTAAATTTAAAGGGTACAATACCTAAGGAACAGATACTTGTGCAAGACATGCAACATTTATGACAACAAAAAGAACAGCCATTTTACACATAATATCCCCTTACAAATGGCGTGTCACGTCACTCTCTCACATATTCCTATCAGCACAAAGCTCAAATCTGAGGAAACTCCATTCCTCTCATATTTTCACCACTTGAGAAGCAGGCAGAGAGAAAGGGAATGAGAGAAACACATCACAGCATCCAGGTATATGTCTGTTCTTCCCCACCAGCACACAGTAGCTAGTCTGAAGTCTCTCACTTCTTCCACACCTTAAGGCACAACTTGATTAGTTCAGAACCCTCATTGTTTCCAAGCCCTGAAGCACTAACCCCAATAGACCAGGAAGGTACACTCAGATTCAACGTTGAGTAAATTATATCCCACTCATCATCATCAAACAGTCAAAACTGTTGTAGAGCCTAGTTCAAGCTTAGGATAGAAATCATGAACCAAATAGAGAGTGAATTAGCTCCCTATTACTTTATTGTGCTTTTAGTTAAAGATATTCGTAAAGCACAACATGCGAGCCAAAACAAGTAACGGAAATATATATACATAGCACAGTTATGTTTAGATCCCTTAATGGGTAAAAAGTAACTGCCATGAATCAAAAAGAGCACCAACATTCATGAACAAACTTTAAAACTAAGGATAAACTGGGTGAAAAGAAAATACCAGGCGTCAACTTTGGTGCAAAAAATGAGTAGGTAAAAGAGAAGAAAGGAAGAAGAAATTTGATCCTAACACGCAATGAGAGGAGAGGCTACAGAAACCTGTTATATTTTCATCTGGCTGAAGATATCAAAACCATATAACTATGAAGACAGTCAGTGAAAAATAAACCTTAGAAAGAATTAACTCACAAGAGTATCAATTTGGAGCACTATATTTGCATAATGCAAAGCAAGGCCAGCAGGACCTAGTCTTTGGTGATTGCTTATATATCCAATCGCTGGTTTATGACCATCTGCATGCGCCCATGTAAAAAAAAAAAACCATTACAATTATGCTTTTCTTAAAAAAAAAAAAAAAAGTCGCTTTCATTACAGAACTCAAGGGCAAGTAAGTGCACCTGCGGTGCCAAAGGCATTGTTTATCTCCAAATGCAAAAAAAGGACAATGTCTACAAGCTTCTCCATTATCTGTTATCCAAAAGATTATGAATGGAACTGAACCCACGAAAGACAGATATAGAGCAAAGGAGAATGTGAGATACAGATTCATCTAAAGCAAACCACCAAAAGTTACCTCCTCCAAACCGCACGACCAAAGTGACTTTTTCTTCAAATGTTTAACCTGCTTCTTTTGACTTTTAAGTCCTGCCCTTGAGATCGCATACTTATCACCTATATGATTTTATCACAATTTTTCAATAAATAAAGCCAATCATTGCATTTTGAAAGCAAGGTCCTAGAGAGCTCCACAAACAAGAGCTGCATATAGGTCATCGGTATTCTGCAATCACCTCTTTGACTTGCACCTGATTTTTGCTCCTCAAGATGTTTACGCAGACTATCTTGCTCAGATCTACCCAAAGCATGTAGCTCATGGTATAATTCCTGTCCCCATTAAAAATAAAAAAAAATGTTTTCCAAATCCTTCTGTAATTAAATTACTAGTAAATAACTTGACCAAACAAAATTTCCTAGTATTTTACCATTGGAAGATTTATTTGGACAAAATGCAAGATGTAAGAACAGTTCTGCTATTTTAAGTGACAGAAACTACAGCATATTCAAACTGACAGACAGTAGATGGTAGCAACTGAGTGCCACCGGAACAACGTATGCAGAAAACAGTGAAACTACAATACATAAAACACTCCAATCACTTCAGAGTTTATTTAGTCAGGACATTTGGCAATTATTGGTAACAAAATTAATTAAAAATAGTATGGTGCAGATAGAAACTAGCATCTTGAAAGTTGAAACTGAATCCTCTTTGGTTTGTCAAAAAAGCTGATCAGTGACATACAGGGAGACTACACACAAGGTGAGCAAAATACAGCTGCCATCCCCTTCTTTTCAGATTAATTAATACAAATATCAAACTATAAATGAGAGCATAATGCATTTGCAATTATTTATATATATATTGGAAATTTATGATATTTTAGTTTATCCCTGCAATAGAAAGCAATTTGTACAAAAAACAGAGTGATTCAATCCAATGTAGGCAGAGAGCAGGTTTCAACTATTCAATTTGTTCAATTTCAGAGGTATTAGTATCACCATGAAGTTCTGGAGTCAATACCTTTTGTCTAGCATGCAATATATGTTTTACTTTTCTTTTCTTTTCTTTTCTTTTCTTTTTTTCCATAATGCGTAGGATATAAGACTTGCGTCAAGGAGATGATACAAAGCACAGTATTTAGGTATTTAAATCAAGCAACTTCATAGCTGAAAGTAGTTGAATGCAGTAATTCTCCATTTATCTATGAGCATGGCTCGCATTTCATACAAAACTATCAACTATTATTATGATTTACAGCAAATAGGGGACATAAAAAGCACTCTTTGATTTAATTTTTTTTTCCTTTCAAAAAAACTTCTAAAGTAACTTTTTGGCTCTGGATCAAGATTATAAATCAAATATTTCTTAGATGAATATAATACTCACAGAAGTAAAGTGAACCAAAGTCATCAATTGTTGCATTATTGATTCTGCCTCATCATTTGGTTGTCTTTGGGAATTATGTTCTTCGCTGATTCTGGAATATACAATGAACAGAATCCTAGTTAAAAGGGAAAGAACTCGAAATAACTAAGTGGGTGCAATTTATATTACTTCTCAAAGTAACGGTCCATGTTGTGCCACTGAGGATCCTTTGAACGATTTCCAAAACGAACCACCTCATCAGAAAAAATTTTCAGCTCCTCCCTATAAAGATGATCCAACAAACACTTAAATTGACATCTTATAGAGTCACGATAAGTGACCTACTTGTTTGAACAAAAAGTCATTCACATGAAATCTGACTTAACCACAAACTTGCCTCTTGTCAGCTGCAACAATTTTTAGAAGTTCATCCACATCCTTTGACACTAAATCTTTGACAGCCTTAGAAAAAAACAACTCTTCTTTCAAATGTTTCATATTTTCATCAGAAAGAGATTGCATAAGATTAAAACCCTTGACAATAGTGTTTGCAACCTCAAATGCTAAGATACCAATTTCATTTCCTTTGGTTGAAGCTCCAGAAATAAATCCAGTGCCAGCATTTAAACTCGTCATGCTGCTACCAAGAGTGTCCAAAACCTCCACTGCTTTCCCAATTCCAATTGTACCAGCCCTGCCTAGACGTGAGCTCACCTCTGAGACCTGAAATAGAAAGGTCATAATGCTTAACCGCCATTGTCAAATATGATATCATCGACTACCTCATAGTCGGAGTGCAGTACAATAACTCGCGTATTTTTCTTCATCACCAATTACACCGAACGAGAGAACGTTATAAAACTACTAACAGCATACCAAAACATTTGAAATTGACATGGATAGACCGACCTTTTGCCTTGACCTTACTGACAAAGACTTGAGCAGAAAAGAATCGGCAAATCGTGGAATTCCGTCATATAATTCATCCGGACTTGTCTCGGCATTGATCCCTCTATTTTCAGTAGGTTCTTGCAAGTTCTCCACACTCTGAGGTGAAGTCGCGAGCTCACTAGGCATACTAGACCGAGCATCCTCATTTGATTTATTAATTTCAGAATGGTCATCCCTCTGGGCAGGCACTTTGTCATCATTGCCTGATCTTGAACAAAAAGCCCCCATAGCTTCAGATAACCAGAGCACAAACGGCACTTTGACACAGGTCATTCATAACAGCGATGAATATAGAACATCCGGAATTTGTCTGTATTCACCTTCCTTGATACTGGGGTTGATTGGGAGTACAAAACACTACGAAGACTGAGAGACAGAGAGAGGAGAGTGCCTCGGGGGTTGGAATTAGACCTTTGGAAGAAGGCTGGCCGCTTGGAAAACGAGGAAGAAAAGGTCCACGGGAAACATCCCATTGGGCGCCAAGAAAATATAAAAAGACAACACCAAAGAAAGAGTAGAAGGGAATCATATTATATATATATATATATATATATATATAAAATAAGGAAGAGAACAAGGGAAGATAATTTCAAAGTAGGAAGATGAAGTAAGATTGCTGGATTGGGTTAAGGTCAAGGTTTAAAGGTCAGGCGACGTGGGATTACCCGGCAGGCGAAGAAAATGCTGTTTCTCTTCTTTCCTCTGTATACAACGTAAACAAACAGTACTCAAAATTCAAGGATTCAACCATTTGGTTTTCTTTTTTTTTTTTTTTGTCATCTTCTCTCCAAACTTCACAGTCTTCTCGTCATCTTCGCTACTGTTTCTTCCGTCCTTCCTTTCTCATCCCGGCTAGGCCACGCCGTCCAAATGGTTGGGACCGAATCCAAGTGGGTCATCCACGCCAAACTTTGGCATGTCAGAGAGACAGCGTCCATTTCACGTTTGATTCTATTCTTTTGAATTAGCACCGTACAATATGCCAAGATGGAGCCTAAAACAGTAAAACTCCGTGATTTTGTAAATGGTAATGGAGCTTTCAGAGCATTAGTACTTAGTAGTTAATTAATTTATATATGTACAATTAATAATTATAAATTCTTAATAATATATATAATTTTTTGAATAAGATACAATCTTTATAATTTCATGTAATTACATTTAAGAAAACTAAATTTTGCTACTCATGCGACACACAAGAAGGAAAACCTATGTCAAATTGAATATCACATTTTTTATTTTTTATTGGTATTATATTAGTTGAGATACCATTACTTTATTACATAACAGAAAGCATTCCTAACCAAAAAAAAAAAAAATCACCTCATATTCAGTTATCCACAACTTCAATTACTAATGATTCAGATTCAATATTTTTATTTTTATTTTTATCATATATTTATTCAAATAAAAAATTATAAAAATTTGAATAAATCTGTTATTCAATTTGGATAGTTTAAACTTAATACATATGGTCTAAATCATCGTCCAGGATATATCTGGATCATCAAGTTATTTAAATTTAAATTATTCAGAGATGAACAAAGTTATTAATTTTGTTTATAACTTACATAAATCCCAATCTAAAAATATTGAATCTGAATGATCTAAATTTTTCTTCCTACAGATGAGACACAATGAACCTTTTTCAGGAAGGAGAGAAGCCAAGTCCCTTAATCCAAACCTGTTATGACTTAGGGACAACCCTCAAGACATGAAGAGTCTAGAGAGTTGCAACTGCAGGGACAAGCGATTTTGATTCAAAACACAAAGCGATCCCACTGCGTGTGATTTGTGTATGATACTATTTGTGGCATCAGAGCCAAAAGAATCCAAATTAAATCAGAATATAAGCGCATGTCTGTTTTCTATTTTTAAAAGCTGTTTTTTATTTTTCAAAATAGAAAAAATTTAAATTTTATTTGAATAGGTATTTTTTATTTAATTGTTTCCAAAACTGTTTTCATTTTTTATCTTTTAAAAAAATAGAAACAACTTTAAGTTATCTTTTTTTTATTTTTTTTATTTTTAAAATACACTACATTTAATTATTGAAAATTATAGTTACCTTGATCAATTTTTATTATTAATCATTACCATTATTGAGCTATAACCATCACTATTAGTCAATTTTTAATTTAATTTTTTTTTAAATTGATATAACCAAATAAATTTTTATTTTATTTTGTTTTGAAAACAATTTTAAAAATTATATTATAAAATAATTTTTAAAAATAAAAAATGAGAATAGAAACCAAACAAACCCTGACAATCTTGCAACTTTCATGGTTTTTTTTTTGGGGGGGGGGGGGAATGTACAGCTGTGAATTACATTTTTATATAAAATTTAATCATAGTTCTACTTATGAATGTTTAAAACAGTAAATTACGTGATTTTCAGGCTTTAAAAATCAATAATTCAACATTAATTATAATTGATTGAAGTAAATATTTGTTTAATAATCAAAAACATGTTTTATGTTAAAAATGGAAACCATTTTAAGTTTGCAATTTTTATTAAAGCACCCGGCAATAAGAATTCTCAACCTTTTTGACCGAATCCTTTATTTTTCCTCCTCTTGGAGAATTGCATCCATTGGAAGAACAACGAACGCACGACGAAATCGGAAAAATCAATCAACACGTTAGTTGAAATCATAGAGAAATAAAACTCAAATTATAAAAGCTTGAATGACAGATTTCAACTGCGTATTTAGAGAAGTTAACCAATGCATAAATTGACATACTCATTAGATTCATAATGTGAATCTTGATATTAAAATTTTTAACGATCTATCACTTGGTACTATAATTTTATAAGTTTAGATATGTTTTAATTATTTTTTTCACGGTATATATGTGATCTAATATTTAAAAAAATAAAAGATTTGACCCGGCAAAGAGTATCAGTCACTAGACAATTTGATCGAGTGAAGGTCTATCCACCTTGAATTGTGTTGAAATTGAAATATACTCATATAGTGTTATTTTCTTTCTTCTGTTTTTTAGTTTTTATCACGCTTTTTCGTTTTTTCTAAAGCTATCTCGACAATTAATAACTATGAAATTAATCACTTGAGAAATCTTAACACTATTTAAAAAAAATGTTTGTTTATTTTTATTTGTATGCATATTTGTATTACTTCTTATTAATATTATAAAAATCAAATCAATTACTAAACCAATAAACCAATTAAGACATCGTTTACCATTCAATGATTCGGCACACATATATATAAATTGCTGTGTTATCGTGATTTTTTTGGCTACATTCGAGACAATTTAAAAGAAGGTTAGCGGAAAAAATAACAAACAATGCGTCCAATGAAAATGAGTAAACACATAACCAAGTGCATCTTTTATTAAAAAAAATCAAAATTTAGACGAGTCAGAATTTTTTGGGCTATAAAAATGCTTAGCCATTTACAAAATACTTGCATATTACTCATAATAAAGTTCTTATATTGGTAGTAGAATTTGAACTTACACATTATGATTTTATAAATTATGAACTAAATACTTGTCAATTGAATTAATCTTTAATTTATCACTATCTAAGTATTATTCCAATCCCATGTATTTAATATTATATTTAACTCACCAAACACAGGTAGTCAAACAAATTCTCAATAACCTTGGTAAGATTTAAAAATAAAACACACATTGATGCTCAATAACAAGTATTTATTTTATTGCACACACGCACGCTCAAATCTTATAGAAAGGATGATAAAAAGGTTTCAAAAAAGCTAATTAATTTTATTATTAGAAAAATGTAAATTACAGGAAGAATTTAGCAAGGGATCATTTATTCTAATTTGAAATACCAAATTAGTAAGGGATATTGATTTCGTAGCTCGATTTAAAATTAACGAAAAAAATAGTAAAAGACTATCAATTTTTCTCTAAAATAAAATAATTAACAAAAAAATAATAAGGGACTGTCAATCCCTCTCTAAAATAGAATAATTAGCGAGAAATTGTTAATTCTTTTCTAAAATAAGACAGTTAGTGAGGAAAATATTGAGTGACAATCAATCCTTCTCTAAAATAAGATAATTAACAAGAGATTCTATCTCTAGCTAATTATTATAAAAAAAATTAACTTTGGACAATGACTTTTAATTATATATTTAATTATTTTTATTTACAAATAAAAATTAAGTAAATTTTCATAATAAAATTATTTAATATTTAATAATTTCTTTATTTTAAGTTGATTTTCATTAATAAAGTAATACTTTATTAAAAATATAATATAAAGAATAATTTAAATAAAATATAAATATTTTTAACATATTAATAACTGAAAATAAAATTTAATATGTATATATGTGTGTATATTTATAATATATTGTTTGATATATTTATGTAGTTAAATAATACATATTTAATTTCTCATAAAATGACTACAAGTGCCTTTCAATTTAACTAGTAAATAAGGAGAGTATAAAACTTGAAAAGTGTGAGGTCAAGAGTTTAAGTCTTGGTTTTAGCATAAACATAAGGAATAATATGTAATATAGTAAGGAGCAAGTGATATGGTGCAAAATAGACAATGGCATGTTAGGAGTTGTTGCACATGTGACAAGTGATAGGGCACAAGATAGTAGATGATATGATAATTGATGAATTATGAGGGTTGTTGGTGATATGCCACAAGTTGACGCACACACTATGAGTGATATGACATCACCATTTTAAATATAGGCATATTTAATGAGAGATTATTCCTTACTAAAGTTATCGAATTTTAATAGTATTAACGAGGGATTAGCAAGAGTTATAGCCTTCGCTAAAAATTAGCAAAAGAATGAATCCTTCATCAAATCTCTCACTAATTAGAGAGGAAAATTCGATCACTCGCTAAATTTAGGGAGTACTTTTTTAGCTATGAATTTAGCAAAGAACATTGTTAAAACACAATTTAATAAGAAAAAATGATATTTAGTGAGGGATTTGTTCCTCGCTAAATTTTATTTTTCTAGTAGTATTCAAATTAAATTTCAAGTGACAAACTCTAAAAATTTATAATTTAAATTTTTAATTTTGTAGTTGTATTGTGATAAATTTATAACTTACTTTTTTAAATTTTAACATGATTGAAAATAAAAAATTTATTTTTTTTGTTAAAATTTAAAAGATAAGTTGCAAATTCTTCACAACAGAATTATAAAATTAAAAGACTAAATTGTAAATTCATAAAATTTGATACTTGAGTACTAATTTAAATTAATTGATCATTTTGAGATCTCTCAGTCATTCCACCAATCTTATATTGTACGTACTTTTTTGTGCAATGTTAGTAATTTTTTTTCTGAAAAAGAAATAATTAATTCATTTTGCACGCCATAGACGACGTACTAAAGGACTTTCCGAACATGCAACGGTGATGGCTTGATGCATGGGTTCATAAATCATGTTTCAGAAGAATCATTGGCCGCCATGTTCAAGCTCCGGCCAGCTCATCACCTTCGAGTTTTATATATGTAGAGATATCATCACTGGCTTGTTAATTGTTATCTTCTTTTTTCTTCCTTTATTTTTTTTAAAAATACTTTCTTTTAGTTTTTAATCTTGGTGTTTTCCACTAAACAAAACACTTGTTTATTTATGCGCGTGCCTATGTATATTTGCCTTGAAATCCTCACCAATATTAACAAAATCATATATGCTATTGAAATTGCTAAGACACCAATTCATGATTTAAAAGGTTAGACCATTTTTGAACCATGGTTGGACCGATGGAATTGATTCTTATAACATTACCATAAAACCAATTCATGTTTGTTCTTGCAGAAAGTTTGGGCCTTTTAGAGTTGGTGGTCAACTGGCTTTTCAAGCGAGTTACTTGTTTGTGTTGGGTTCTGCTTCCTTAATTCATGCATATATTTTCTGTGCAAATTAGAAACCTCATTGCAGCACGAATTGGAAGAAATTCTGAAATTTGAAGAAACAAAGTGGTTTCAGAAGGCTTGGACTGAATGGATAAATAGTGATGATAGAAACATTAAATAGTACTATCTTAAACCAACTATGAGGAGGAGGAGAAATAGAGTTCTATCTCTTAAAAATGATTTGGAAAGATCATTGAGAATGGGGTGGAATTGAAAGAACTCGTTACTTAGCATTTCAAACAGTTATTTTCCTTTGAGAACTTAGAAGAAGCTTAGTTGAATACTAAGAATTCCTTCCCCTTTATTAGTGAGGATGTTCTTGCTAGTTTGGCATCAATCCCTTCCAAGGATGAAATTCAAGAGCTGTTTTTTCTATGGGTCCATACAAGACACCAGGATATGATAGTTTCTCACTTATCTTTTTCAGAGCAAATTAGGAAATGGTGGGGAACTCCTTCTGTCATTGTGTGCAAGAGGTTTTCAAGGGCTAATGTTCATTAACTGAAGCTAATAGAACCCCCATCTCTCTTGTACCCAAAAGAGAAAGCCAAAATTGGTTAGTCATTTCAAACCTCTATCTTTATGCTATGTCCACTACAAGAGTATTATTAAAATCCTGAATTATAGATTGAAAGGTTGCATGAATACTCTTATATCCCCTTTTCAAGCTAGCTTTGTGCTAGGACACCAAATTCAGGATAACATCATTATTGGGCAAGGAATAATACACATCTTGAAGAAGGCAAGAAGGAAAAAAGTCTTCTTTGCCATGAAAGTATACCTGAAAAACTCATACAATGGAATCAAGTGAGACTTTTTGAAGCAAGTTTTGATTAATGCTAGAATGAGCTCTAATTTTTTTCTTTTAATTATGAGCCGTATTACTATTGTATCTTATAATGTTTTATGGAACGGGGTGTAAACAGGTATTTCTCTCCTTAAAAGGGTCTTCGGCAAGGATATTCAATTTCACCATTCTTATCTGTGTTGTGTATGGATAGGCTGTTACATATTATCAGTGATGAAGTTTATTCAAGACTTTGATTACCTATCCATATCACAAATTAGGGCCCCTCCATTTCTCACCTTATGTTTGTAGACGATCTTTGACTCTTTATAGAAGCCACTAAACAGTAAGCATATGTTATAATGGATTGTTTTAATGTCTTTAGTAAAGCATTTAGGGAGAAGGTTAATAAGTCTAAATCTTCACTATTCTTTTCTAAGAATATGAGTTTTACTCTAAAAGGAAAAATCAAGAGGATTGTGGGAATGAAGGTCTCTGTGGAAATTGGTCGGTATCTTAGTTTTCCTTTATCTAATGAAAGGAAAACAATGGAAAAAATTACAATATATTATTGATAGAGTCAAATCAAAGCTTGCTAGTTGAAAATCTAGTTGCCTTTCTACTGCTGGATAGGTGGTGCTTGTTAAGTCCGTCTTTAGTGCAGTGCCTCTCTATCCCATATAGGTTGCAAAAATCCCAACAACTATCTGTAATGAGATTAAAAGACTCCAAAGGAATTTTATTTAAGGTAGTGCAACCTCAAGAGGCTTCCACCCTTTGAGTTGGAATTGAATAACACTTCCTAGGGCTTCATTTTAAAAAATTATCCTCAAGTTAATAAAGCTTGTGGCACCAAAATAGCATGGAAATTAATCCTAGGTTCAACTGGTTTATAAGTTGATCTTTTCGTAGAACAAGTACATGTTCAAATTTGAAGAAGATTAACTAGAAGCTAAATCATATGATTCACTTACTTGGAAGTTTATATGCCAAAACAAGGATTTGGTGGATGAAGGAACTAGATGGTAGCTTTGTAATGGAGAGTCAATTAATTTTTTTCAAATATTTTTGGCTATTTTGTGATAAAAAAGATTAAGGATCTAGTATTGTGTCCATTTTTTGAAGAAGAGATAGGGTTTAAAGTTGCTGACTAAAGATGCTTTGAAGTGTGAGATTTCATTAGATTGTCATTCATCATGCCACAAGGGGTCTTATCTAAACTTATATCCTTGTTACCTCCTTCCCTGTTTGTATGTCATGATATCATGATATGGAATAGAACTATTCATGGTTCTTTTACCACCAATAGTGCTTATTTTATGATTGAAAAACCACCTTCAAATTTAATATACCCTATGTTCAAAATTATCTGGAAATGGAGAGGGATAAGAGAATTTGTGTTTTCTTGTGGCTTACTTATCATAATAGGCTACCTACTAATAAATGGAGAAGTTCATAGGCTGGCTGTTCTCCTTTAAATAATTGGTGTGAACTTGAGGCTAAAGATATTCTTCATATCACTAAAGACTGCTCTTATGCAAAACAGATCTAGTGCAAGTTGGTTCTGAATAGACTTCATCAAATCTTTTTCTCTCTTAATTTAAAGGAGCGGATGACTTGGAATTTTAAACCACCCACCAATGCCAGTATATCTTCTAATTGGAATCTTCTGTAGGGTGTAACCATTTGGAAATTTGTGGAAATGGAGAAATTGTTCTATCTTCCAACATGATTTTCTCAAACCAATTAATCTTATAGATGCTGCGCTAAATTCACGACGATCCTTTGTCACGCAAGAGGAATAGGTTAAGTTCAATATGGAGGATGTAGTTTCATTTACCTCGGGTAAGGCAGGATAAGGGGTGTCTTGAGAGCAATGTCTTAAAAGCCTAATCAGACAATGAATCAAAAAGATCAATAAGTCACGAGTCTTATAGTTTAATTGATGAGATCGGTTTGTTGAACCGGTAACATAATAATTAAATAAAAATAATATATATATATATATATATATTAAAAAAGGGTCAAAAAAATTCAACAACTTCAGGTCTCGAGTTATTGCTTCAAGTCTTCAAGAACCACTTAGGTCAAAGCGGGCCAACCTAGGTCAACTGTCAAAATAGGCTAATTGATTGATCTAGACTATTTTCTTCCTCAGATGACGGTTCAACTGGTCCAACCATCTGGGACAATCTGATCTTAATGCTTAAGAGACAATGCAAGTGTTTAGATTGTAGGCTTTTCCATCTCCCTCAATATTTGTTCCCCTTTCGAAGCTGAATAATGGGCCATTCTAAGAAGCCTTTGGTTGGCCTGGGATATGGGCTTTAAGAAGGTTGTCGTTAAATCTGACTGCAAGAACTTGGTGGATTTACTCAATGGAGAGTTTACAAGTTTGCATAATGGAAGTCTAGTTTTGTTGGAAATTAAGAGCCTTGTGCAGATTAACTTTATTCCTCTGAAGATTAATATGGTTGCGAACTCCCAAGCTAAGGAAGCAATTTTGATTTTTTCTTTATTTGATTCGACTTTTTTTTCCTTCTTGAGGGACCTTGTGTTTGAAGAATGTATGGGAAGTCAGTCCCTTTGTGCTGCTGATGTTTAATTTTATGTAATGTTTATATATTTAAAAAAAATGTCTCCATTACCCTCTCCCCAAAAAAAAAAAGACTTGCATGATTGAGTAATTTACCTGCTGCACTCAAATCAGGTCTTCGTGAATTGGCTTTCAGATTAATTCTTCACGTCATTATTGCAAGTTCAACTTGACAACATTTGCACCAAGAAGATAATCAAGTTTTGAGCTTTTGCCTCTTTGGGTTTTGCTTATCTTTCATGTCTGTACAATGTCTGTATAGAATTCGGTGTATGGTGTCTATATGTTTCTTCTGAATTTGTTTGTTTTCTTTTTTATTTTCCTTTAGTCTGTTATGTTTGGGCCTTTAAGTGTGCTATTTAGGGATTTTTTTAGTGCATAATTGTTTTATGTATTAATAATATTTGAATTTATTTCACTATTTCAAATACTCCAATCGATCATTTTTTTTAATCAAATCCAAATTATCATTTTCAATCTTTACGCGTGTCATTGCATCTTCACTCAGCAGTTCATGTACATATTGTACAAGGTTGGATCAACCAGCATCAAGGAGTAATTTTTTTAATTCAGGTTTGTAATTTTTATTTTAAGTTTTAAATTGAAATTTATTTCGTTTGTAAATTAATATAGTGAATGTGAGGAATTTGTACATGTCGAAGCTCTATTTGCAAAGATAATGGGAGTTAAATTTTCTCCTATAGGAAGGAGAATAGAGGAAAAATTACTATAAATTTAAACTGTTAAATTAAATTTTAAAATTTAGATTTAATAATTTTTAAAAATACAAATTTAATTTAAACAAATTAGATTTATAGTAAAAATGCAGTAAAAATCCCATGTCAGGACAATGGCCATGTTATACTTGAAGACGCATGAAACAAGAAAGTAGGTTTATCAAAAAAAACAAGACTGGAAGGTGAGAACTGAACAAGACGGGACGACGTGTCATTGAGCCTTGTGGTTTTACCGGAACCAAAACTTCTCATAACGACCTTGTCTTTTCTCTTTACATTGTTCAGGCTCCACTGTTCCTAACTTCCTCAACGTTCCCAATTGCTCGATTCCTAATCATTGGCCCGCCTGGAGATAAGACCGCCAGATTCAATTTCACCAAAAAATTCGTCCAATTTTCAAAAAAAAAAAAAAAACGAAAAACAACAAAGATAATCAGCGAACGGTGAAAGAGGGTACCGTGGGTCGCGTTGCGTGCGCTGAGAGCCAGCAACAAGGAATCTACAAAGAGTTTAGGCGATTCTACTTGTTATCTAGGGTTACGAATTGTATGAATTTGATACGAGTTTTAGCGAATCAAGGAGGAGCTTCTTTTATCTTCGTCGTCCCAGTTGTCATTGCCGGATGTGATTATATTCATAGATAGACTACATAGATGTTCTCGTACAATTTGAAGGGGTTTATCTTGGCCGTCGTTTCCAGTGCTTTTATTGGCTCCAGCTTCATTATTAAGAAAAAGGGCCTCCGTCGAGCCGCGGCCAACGGCCGTCCTGCCGGTCAGTCCTCTTGAAAACTTGTAGATTGCATTTTTTGCATATTGCAGATCTTTATGCTCTGGGCATGACCTTTTGTCGTTCTTCATTTGTGTTAGGTGTTGGAGGATATGGTTATCTGCTCGAGCCTCTCTGGTGGGTCGGAATGATTACGAGTAAGTTGCTGTACGTATTTGATTTTGTAATTGATTACTAGTAAGTCAAGAACCCTAATTGATGCGTTACTAGTTAGTAATTTCGAGTCTCTTTTTCTCCTTTGTTGTTACTACTTAAAGTGATTGTTGGGGAGGTCGCCAATTTTGTGGCTTATATTTACGCTCCTGCGGTGCTTGTGACGCCACTTGGTGCTTTGAGTATTATTGTCAGGTAATATTTATTTCCAATGATTCATGATTGATTTCTTGTTTGCTTTTAACTTTGTTATAACCTGTTGGATTTACTTACCGGCTTATTCTTTCTGGTAAACACTATTATGGATATGGGTAGTGCTGTCTTAGCACATTTCTTGTTGAATGAGAAGCTCCGAAAAATGGGCATCTTGGGGTGTCTTCTGTGCATAGTTGGATCCACTATTATTGTACTCCATGCACCCCAAGAGCGGCCTATTACTTCTGTACTAGAAATATGGGAATTGGCCACTCAAACAGGTATACTTCTGAGGTTTGATTCATTTATCCAGTGTAGTGTCTCTTGGCTGCACGAGTCACAAGGGATATTTTTTCCTGATCAATATTTTCTTCTGGCATACAGCTTTCCCTTGTATACGGCTTCAGCTGTAGCTGTATCACTGGTATTGATCTTATATTGTGCCCCCCGATGTGGCCAAACTAATGTCTTTGTTTATGTTGGGATATGCTCTGTAATTGGGTCCTTGACAGTAAGTGACTCTACTAAGTATCTTATGAGCGTTATCTAATGGTTTTTTTCATTTAAAAAGTCTCTAATGGTTTTATCATTTGAATTATCTTAAGTCTCATACCGAAGTCCATTGTTTGATTTACATTGCTAACGAGATCCCATATTTCACAGGTCATGAGTGTAAAAGCTATTGGCACTGCCATCAAACTTACATTAGAGGGAAGAAACCAGGCTGTATACTTCCAAACATGGATTTTTGCAATGGTTGCTGTTACCTGTGTCATAATTCAGTTAAATTATCTTAATATGGTCAGTTTCTTGTAGTATGATGGATTTTTAATGTGAATATTAATTTTGCATATTTCATATGCTCTTTTGGCACTCTGTTGCATTTTTCTGTATTGTAGATTAACAATTTATGCCAGTGAAGTAGATGATCTCTTAAGGCGTGTCAGTTTGTTTGTGTCTTAGCTGTGTGAAATGATTCTGGCTAATACTTCATGCATTTAATGAAGAATACCATTTTTATTAATTCGAGAAAAAAATGAGAATAACAACTATCCCAGAATTCAGTTCTTGTTAGCAGATCTCCAGCTAATATATGCTCTCTTACCTTGTGTCTTTATATTTGTTTTTCTTTCAAAAAGTAACCTGATTCATTCAATTCATTCAAGGTGATAAATGAACATTACCACATTCGAAAATACTTCAAAACTTCCCAGAACTCGTTTGCCTATGCTGATAATTTTGAAACCCCGTTTTTACTCTGCTGCAGATACTTGTACTTTCTTCCTTCTTTTTCTTCTTGCATCTTGTTTCTCCCCCCTTCCTCATGTTGTATTCTTCCTTTTACATCAAACAGTTTGGTTTTCTTACATTTGTGGTGAACAAGTAGTTTAATTTGAAATAACTTGTCAACAATAAGGTCATTGTGATTCAGATTATTTTCAGTAGTCGTCAGAATTTTTTTACTTAAATAGGTGAATAGTGAAATAATACTGCGCTCAAAATTTTTTCCATAGCCTCAAAGAAGTTTATATATCAACTAGGTAGCTAAAGAAGAGACTGCCACATTGTAGTTTCTTATTATTTGTTCAAGTGTTTGGAATAAAAATGTTTGTGACAATTACTTTTATAGTAAATTTCCAGCTTAATGGATTGACTTTCTGCTTTCCTAATCATGTGTTGATATATTAACGTGAGGAAGCAATCTAGTTTGCTGGCTGTAATCTTACCTTTTATAAGCTTTTTTAGCCACTCTTCTATACTTTGACCACTGCCTATCATCATACTCCCCTTCTTATTTCTGTGCATCTATTTTCACTCTAAATTTAAGTTGCCAATGGAAGGAAGAAACATTTTCTGGTGGTTGTGATTCTAGGTGTTCAAGTTGTAATCAATCAGGTTATGCTTAATCTGATTACCTGCAGAGACTGATGCTTAGCAATTTGAATTCCTAAGATTAAAATTACTAGTGTCGTTGCCTGCCCTTCAATTGTCACCATTCACTTGGATTTGATGTAGCCAACTCTTGCATGGTTGCAGGCACTGGATACTTTTAACACAGCAGTTGTTTCTCCCATCTATTATGCCTTGTTCACATCTTTTACCATATTAGCCAGTGCAATCATGTTTAAGGTTGGTATTTACCATAACACTAGAGTGTAGAAAAGGAGAGATTTTATGGTTCATTCATCGAATAACAATCCTTCCATATGTTCCCTTCTTAATAGGACTATAATGGTCAAAGTGCAAGCAGTATTGCATCCGAGCTTTGTGGTTTTATTACTGTTTTATCTGGAACAACTGTATTGCACAGTACAAGAGAACCTGATCCTCCAGCCAATATAGGTAACACCTCATGCCTTTTACTTTAGTTTGGAGGACTTGGAAAACGTAAATTTCTCATAGACATGTGTCGTTAACAAGGATTCAGCAACTATCATTACTAACATCATTGGTTGGCTTGATTATGGTATATTATCAGTGCCTTCAAGGTTTAAACATTATTAACTTTTTTAATAATGTGGAAGTTTGCTCTTAAATTCCCTGTTGTAGGCCACTTGGTTCATTCTGATATGTATGAGTAATTTTATTACCACAAAATATTTGATAGTTTTTTCTTGGGAAAACACAATTATTAGTTGTTATAGTTTTATCGAATTTTGTTTTTAGTCCTTATAGTTTTGTTCCAGTGTTTTCAGTTCTTGTAGGGACTAAAAACATTGAAACTATGGGGACCAGAAAGGCAAATGTTACCCAATCTCACTGAAACTATAGGGATTGAAAACACTCGAAAGAAATTACAGAGACTAAAAGCAAACCCAATAAAACTATAGGGACCGAAGATTGTATTTTTCCTTTTTTCCTAAAATGTTAGAGAGTAAAATCAGTAAATACGTTAATTATATCTTGTACATAGAAAAGTCATTAGACAGTCGTTTGTTAGACACAGACATTGATATGGAATACCTAGATTTTAACAAAATGTCAGAGAATGCGTGCTTGTCCTGATCCATTCAAAACTGTAACCATTCTGTTTCGCTCTTTTATTGAAGCTCAGCTGTTGATGACAGAAGTCAAATGCCGTGAAGGAGATTAGAGGCCTAGTAAAATTAAATGGGAGTTGTGAATTCTCGGGTCTATTCATTCCTGAAGGGGTTTGGAGATATGAATCAGTCGTTTATCATACAACTGCTAATTGATTTCTTGAAAGAAATTAATATTCATTGAAAGCACTCCTTGCTTCTTAACTACCTACACTTTCTGCGCTATCATAGTTTTAAGGATGTTTGCAAATTAATCAGTTTTAGCAGAGTAACGTAATAGATTAAGAAATTCCCGTGAGTAGACAGGATGATGTCAACAGAAATGTGGCGATGTACACTACCATTTGAGCCACAACCAAGATAAAGAAAGGGGGACCTTGGATGGTTCAATCAGTGAGGAATTAATTGTTTACACAGTAACTTGTTAGGAGTAGTCTTAATTAAATGATTGGTGATATAAACTAAGCTCAAATTGTGGCAACGTAACTAAAAATGGACTTTGTTTTTTTAACTCTGAGCACTTTGGTTGTGTTTAAATATTATGTATCAGAGGTAATTAATGGTCTTCCATATCTTTTTCCGTTCTTGCTTTGCTGAGTTGGAATGGCATAATTTATTGTTTTATTTGACTGATCTTTCTGTAAATCTTTTTGCTTACTGCTTATGGGATACCCTTTATTCAGCATTTGTATCGAATTCTAGAGAATTTGTTGCAATAAAGTTTTATCTTTTTTTTCATATTCGGAAAAGTTATCTTCTGATTATTCTCCTCGTGCAGATTTGTACACACCATTGTCTCCAAAAGTGAAAAGGTATGTCCAAGGCAATGGTGAACCTTGGAAACAAAAGGAGGAAGATGGAGCACCATTTAATTTAATCACAATAGTACGGCAAGACCATTTTAAGTGACAGTAAGAGACTTAAACTGCTTAAAGTCAGGCCCATCCCGTGACATCCTGCCAACGGGGTTCAAGCCGTGTTACGATGTTCTATCAATTTGGTTTAGCAGGAGACTTACATTGTGCAGGCATAGAGAGGGTGGTGTCTCTTTCACTCTCCCCAATACACGTGCAATGGAGAAAATTCCCTGGTTCTGGGGTTGACCACGTGGTGGATGCTAATGTGATTTTTCAGACTGATTAGTTAATGGGGGATGGGGACTTTCATACTTTTGTACAGAGAATCTATCAATTTTGCTATTTTCTCTGACTTTGTAAGTTGAGAGGCTTTGATGCTGCATGGCTTATGGCTTGAACAGATCTGGCTCGCTAAATTGGGGTTGTACCCTTTTTCTTTCTTTGTTTTTTTTTAAATGAAGTTCTAATGTTCTACTGCACGGCAGAGAATCTAGTTTCAATTTTGGTCCTATTATTTAACTGCAGTAAATAATTTATAGCTTCCGATCAAATGAGGATGCACATGTGACGGTCATGCGGATTTTTGTTTGTATTGTGTTAATTACATGAGTGATATGATTTTGTGATACAAGGAGTGGTTTTTCCCCGAAATACCTGGGAATATTTTGATTGGGACTGGAAAACTGTATTAAGAACTTTTAATTTTATAAAATAAAAATTTATCACACACATGCATGCACATACTATGCTAAAAATTAATATAAAATATAAAATTGATACACACAAAGTATGGCTCCTCTTATTTGAAGTTTTCTACATGACTTCTCTTCAACTTTAGTACGTCGTCAAGTTTGCTAAAAAGATGGAGTGTGATTTTTTTTTTTTTAAGAAAATTGAATCCTGTGCATCACACCTAATGAAATTATTAGGATACATATGAATTTAGTCTGCCCAAAACAAAAAGAAAGAGGCAATACGTTGATTTGGCATGTAGTTAACACTGAAGTAAAGAAATATAGGTCGTTATGTAAAAAGCGTACCACCCCTGTGGCTGTAGTTTAGTGGTAAGAATTCCACGTTGTGGCCGTGGAGACCTGGGCTCGAATCCCAGCAGCCACAGTTTTTCTTTTCCTTTTATTTTTCCCTTCAGTCTTAAAGCCATTGGGTAAAACTTAAATACTATGCACTTAGCAGTCGTTATTACGCCTTTTAATCCCCTTATAATGTTAATGACCTCTCTCTTGATTATGTATTGATACGCGCGTAAGTGATAATTAAGATGATGCTGCTGCTGCTTCATTTGTTTAAGTCAACTAACACACAAGTCCGTCAAGATCCGAGTTTAAAAAGGAAAAGATTCAGAATCAGCTCGCACCCTCAAAATGGCAGAAGATGCCCAATTTGAAGCAAAATATTCGAATTCAGTTTGGTCATTCACACACAGCCACCCCAACACATAATATTTTCTCCACCGATACCAGATTCTCTGTGGGCGTTCAGATTTCAAAATCTGAAATTTTTGAAGCTATTTAAAACTGTTTTTATTTTATTATTTTAAAAATTAATATTTTATAAAACATGTTTTAATAATAAAAAATAATGAAAATAAATATTTTTTTCATTTTCCCTTATTTATATAAAACAATAATTACGGAATATTTAAAAATTATTTTTATTTTTTATTTTTTAAAATAATATTTTATATTTTTGTTTTTTAAAATATTTTTTAAAAATATATTATCAAATCAATTTTTTTGCTCTTTATTTTAAAAAACAGGAAAACTGTTGTTAAAATAGGTTTTTAAACAAGCCTCTATCATTCCTCTCACTCTCACTAAACCCCTCTGCACCGTCCATTTTCTGATCAACGGCCTCCATCGCGTCCTCTTAGCACAACACCCTGACCCTACAATCATCTATACTATACATCTAAACATACAAAGTCAAGTCTGGTTCGGACGCACAGAATTATACAGTGGGAAATAGAGAGAGAGAGAGAGAGAGAGAGAGAGAGAGAGAGGGAGGGAGGGAGAGAGAGAGAGCTATGGCTTCCCCTCCGGTGAATTCTTTACCTATAGCGTATCAGGCATGGACGAGTCTCGCCGTACCGGACTGGCTGAACAAAGGGGACAACGCGTGGCAGATGATCTCGGCGACTCTGGTAGGTATTCAGAGCATGCCGGGGCTTGTGATTCTGTACGGAAGCATAGTGAAGAAGAAGTGGGCCGTCAACTCTGCTTTCATGGCTCTCTACGCCTTCGCCGCCGTCAGCATATGCTGGGTCACGTGGGCCTACAAGATGTCCTTCGGCGACAAGCTCTTGCCCTTCTGGGGGAAGGCCGGGCCGGCGTTGGGCCAGAAGTTTCTCATCAGCCAGGCCGCCCTGCCGGCGACGCCGCATTACTACAAGAACGGGCAGCCGGAGACGCCGGAGGTAGAGCCGTTCTACCCCATGGCGACCATGGTGTGGTTTCAGTGCGTGTTCGCCGCCATCGCGGTGGTTCTGCTGGCCGGATCGGTGCTGGCGAGGATGAACTTCAAGGCGTGGATGATGTTCGTACCGTTGTGGCTAACGTTCTCCTACACCGTCGGAGCTTTCAGCTTGTGGGGCGGTGGGTTCTTGTTTCACTGGGGCGTTATTGACTACTCCGGCGGCTACGTCATTCACCTTTCTTCTGGGATTGCCGGTTTCACCGCTGCTTATTGGGTGAGTAGGCTGTATCTGTACTGTCATATCATTATTATTATTATTATTATTTTATCAATTTTAAAAAATACAAACTTCATTTTCTAAAACAAATTAAAGTATGGCGTCATTGAAGATTCAAAATGAAGATAGTTATTAGTAATTATTACACAGTACACACTACACACTACACGCCTAACCCTTCTGACAGAACTGGTGTCAGTACTCAATGTATCCACATAGGCTAGTATGGAAATTGACAGTGTATTACGGTGATGTTGAGGTGGATATTAAGGAAGGAAAAGGAAGATGACTGCATGAAGATGCTCGTGACAATATAAACGGAGTTCTAACTTTTTCGTTTCATGTGAATGAATATATGAGTTTCATACATACTTCGACTAAGTCATGCGGAGGTGGGATAGGGCCTTTAACGCACTCTTTTCTAATATTTTTTAATATTTTAACTTTTTAATTTTATTTTTTTTTTAAATTATTATCTTCTACATAAAATAAAAAACATTTGAATATTTAATATTTCAAAATTATAAATATTTATATTTTTTATTATTTTTTTTAAAAAATATCACAAATCGCCCTTTTATTTTAAAAAAATAATAAAAAATATAAATTTTTATTATTTTAAATATCAAGATATCTAAATGTCTTTTATTTTATGTAGAAGTAAATGATTTTAAAAAAAATAAAAAATGAAATTAAAAAGTTGGGACGGGCACATTAAAAACCCTTATTTCATGCGGAGGTATATTTAATTTGTGGCAACAGAAGTAGATACAGGGGAATTAATATGTGGTGGAGGACGATGATGCTGGGGCTCGATTGATTACATTAATGTTGATGAAGGAATGGTAATTAATGGCGTAGGTGGGACCGAGGTCGAAGAAGGACAGAGAGAGGTTTCCGCCGAACAATGTGTTGCTGACGCTAGCAGGGGCGGGGCTGCTGTGGTTGGGATGGGCTGGCTTCAACGGCGGCGATCCCTACTCGGCAAACACCGACTCTTCCATGGCGGTGCTCAACACCAACATCTGCGCCGCCACCAGTCTGCTGGTGTGGACGTGCCTTGACGTCATCTTCTTCAAGAAACCCTCCGTCATCGGAGCCGTCCAGGGCATGATCACCGGTCTCGTCTGCATCACTCCCGGCGCCGGTATTTCCTCTTCTATTTTACCCGCCCTCCTTTCTTTCCTTTTCATGCTAAAAACGTATTTTTAACACAAGCTTGACAATTATGTGTTGACAAATTTTATATCCATGGTTAATTTATGGGATCAATTTTTCTTCCATGTCTCCTAATACTCACATGACGAGTGGGTGTGAAAAGCATTTAAAAGCAGACAAACAAAAACATGTTGCTGTGTATGAAGACTGTAGAGGATAGATACTATTCCAAGAGACAAGCTATGAACGTTAACATTTGATAAAAAATAAAAATATGGAGTACCGTCAGATTAGTTATTATATGTGACTTTTTTTTTAATAATATGAAATATAAAAAAAATATCAAATAATTTGTGGATCCCTTCACACTTGACTATATATGATATAGTCACTTCACGCAAGACTGGTGTTATTCTGGCGGCTGTGTTCATTGTTTTATTAGTTGGAAATGGGTATGCAATTCTTCTTACATTCCATAGTTGACCTTTTTTCGGCTTTTTCTGCACATGGTTGGGCGTTTTTCCTATCGACGATACCCCACTTCCATTTCTATGATATATAATTTCAAAAAATAGTAATCATGCTGCCTTAAGAAAATAATAATAGTAGCATTAATTTGTACTCTACTTGTTGACTACTTAATTAATTAAGTAATTAATTGTATGCCTTTCTTCACGCTGCCCACGACTTAATTATTGGGAATTTTTAATACTGACCATTCCTGATTTGTTACACACACACACATACATACACCTATCTCCTCAGATATGTATTTCCATGTATTATAATTTATATATTAACGTCAATGCATCCAAAATATTGTGCAATTTGTCACAAAAAAATCAAGAAATATCCTTACTCGCTGGCCTTCCAAATAAATATGTTCTTTGCTTAGCATCTCTTTTTTGGCCTGTAGTTGAACAGATATTTTTGTCAATCACTACAAAAAAAAAGGATTAAATGGTAATTTCATTCTTAAATTATAAGTTTCAAAAGTTTGAGATCTTGAACTCTCTGTTTTTGTTTTAATGTTCTCCCTCGTGATTGTCTCTTAATAAAAGTTAATTTTAATTTTTAGTTGATTAAAAAAATTACAAAAAAAAAAACCTGAAAATTATATATAATGACAAAAAAAATTATAAAAAGACCAAGAAATTTCTTAGTATATTTTTATAATTTGAGATCTTTTTTGTAATTATTTTTTGTTAACTAACAATAAGAGTTAACATTGTTAATGGTAAGGATAATATTGCATTCTTTTGAAAATATTAAAGGAAAACATTACTCCAAAACAAGTTTAAGGTCTTAGACACTGGCTTCTAAATCTATAATTTAGGAATTAATTTGTTATTTAACCCCAAAAATATATATCCGTAATCTTAATTATATTTAACCTAGTTATATGTAATTCAAATATTCAATTGTGTGATACTTAGTTAGTTTTTAAGAGAGTTAGCTTAGCTTAGATTTTAATTTTTAGAATTAAGTCAGGCATAATTAACTAATCTCAGAAAAATTTAAAATAATATCATTTATGTTAATGAATAAAATAATGATATGCTAACTAATTAGAGAATACTCTTCACAAATTTTAAAATTTAATCACAGTTTTCAATGTTTATTGTATGGTCAAAAATCTTGTTCAAATTTAATTAGCCATATATAATTTTGAAATATGACTAATTAATCGTACGTGGATTGTTGACTGGGGTGGATTAGGTCTGGTTCAAGGATGGGCAGCCATAGTTATGGGAATATTATCAGGTAGCGTACCATGGCTCAGTATGATGGTATTAGGCAAGAAACTCAAGATCTTCCAAATGGTCGATGACACTCTCGCCGTCTTCCACACCTCATGCCGTCGCCGGACTTCTCGGCGGCATCCTCACTGGCCTCTTCGCCGAGCCTCGCCTCAGCGCTCTCTTCCTTCCCGTCACCAACTCCAAAGGCGGCGTGTACGGCGGCTCCGGCGGAGTCCAAATCCTCAAACAAATCGTGGGAGGGCTGTTCATCATAGGATGGAACCTGGTGGCGACATCCATCATTTGTGTCGTCATACGTTTCATAATTCCTCTGAGGATGTCGGAGGAGGAATTGCAGATCGGCGACGACGCCGTTCACGGAGAAGAAGCTTATGCGTTGTGGGGTGATGGAGAGAAGCTGAGTATATATTCTGACGATACCACTCACCATGGAATTTTAGCATCTAGTGGTGCCACTCAAGTCCTCTGACGTAGCTTAGCTGAATCATGAAATAGGTAACGCAGATTGATTTTGTTATTTATTATTTTCTTATGGCAACCAATTAGGGTCAAAGCTTAAATTTAAACGAACTACAGAGCCCAAACAATCTGAATTTCGCATTGAAGCTTACATATATGCTCTCTCTCTCTCTCTCTCTCTCTCTGTTTTTTTTTT